GGGGGGGGGGAGGCACAGGCTCAGAAGGCATGAATTTTGCCATTGTAAATTATAATTGTGTCCAAAGAATCTCTTTTGTTGCAGGCGATTTTTATTTTTTTAATTTGTATTTATGAGTTTTTGAACAAAATTATTAAATTCTCGCAAATTAATTTATTAACAGGCTGATATACCTTCTGCTATAAGAATTTTGAAAAGTCAAAATGAGTTAATTTGTAGTGAATACGAATATATTAATAAGTCAAAATGTCGAATTTTAAACATGAGATTTATGATTCTACAAAAAAGGGCACAAAAAGTATGCATTTTTAAATGAAAAACTTCATAATCAAGTACGAATTACTACAACACACACAACATACTGACTATAATAGCCCTTTATGCCTCTAATATCATTACTCTCTTCAGAAAGAAATCCAGCTTGCACTTCATTCATAATAATGAATTGCATAATTATAATTCTATTGGCAAAGAAAACTACCACACGATATTTATGACTACAGTCTCAACAAATAAAAGCTCCAAACACAGACCCAACTTTCTATATAGTAAACCTCCTACAAATATTTAAGTTGTATAGTTGAATGTGAAGAAAAGAAATTGATGTGTTGAAAAAGTATTTAATAATGTGGCCCTGTAAATTAAAAGAAATAATGGAATAGAAAATGTATTAGCTCTATATATTATTTTGAACGTGTGTGTCTTAAGCACTTTACGCATTTTCTTATAAATTGTACATATTAATTAATTTTTGTTTCATACCATTTTTAAGTTATTAGACTTAGATAATGCTTGAAATGTATCACTGAACTATGTATTTACTATGTCCTTACTATTTATTATGTATGCACTAGTCTATTGACAAATCAAAAATTATTATAATATTACTATAAAATCATTGGCTGATGGTCTAGAACGCTAAGTTTGTCCCCAAACATAAGGCTAATAAGTGTTTTTTGAAAATTTTCTAATACGAAAACGTCTCAGAAAAGAAAACAATAAGACAATCTCTAAAGCAATAATGTCAGCATTTATAATGAAAAATGTTAATATTTTGCTTATATGTTGTTGTTTTTAAAATTTTTTGTACCAGTTCAAGAGACAAGTGAAAAACAAAAGGAGGGGAGAGATTTATCCTAACCACTAATAAAAATTGTTTTTGTCGATCTGAGTTGTAATAAAAACAAAATAAAAGAGAATATTCTCTTTTCTGATTGTCTGTTTAGTGATTTTGTAACACTTCAGAAAAAGAAAATCTTGAATTTTTGTTAAAAAATGCATGAACCCTACTTATGATCCACATTCTGCACCTCAAAAATCATACAATTTTCAACAGATAACTAGGTTTTAGTTGATATCTTACCACACATTTCTAATTACGGTAAATAATTTTCTTCTTTAATCTTTTCTAATTTAAGTAGTTTTTCATACTTTTATTGAATATTTTTTGATAAATATCCCATTGCATTCTAGTATTTTCTTTTTTTCTTTTTTCTTTGTTCTGTGTTTTGTTTTTTGTTTAATCCTCTTATGAACTGAAAACATAATATCTCAAATTGGTCTAAATATTAGCCAATAATCAAACATTAATATTATATTTATTTATTAAATATCGTTAGTGAAGTTCCAATTTTCTAAAACCAAATCTCCCAAATGTATTTCCTCCAATCTTGGTCAATATTAAAATAAAATTATTTACTCATGCAGATATTGATATTCATATGACTTCAATCCAAGAATTTTTTGTGGAAAAATCAAATAGAACACCACAGATCAACCATTTCAAAACTATTTATTGTAAACAAACATTTAAATAAATAATAATTCTGTAACAGTGAATATTTTGTTCTCAAATTTACATAGAAATTTGTCGCATACATTTTTACATTCTCTTTTTTTAATACATTAGCTCGTTTCCATTAAATATAAGTCTTTTTGTAAGCAAAACAGTTCATGGGGCGGTCAATTTCATATATTATAACAAATATTAGGAACATACACTTAACTAAAAAATTAATGTCAAGTACTGAAACATTTCACAACCATTTAATTAAGGAAAATTAATTATCTTGTGGCCATACAATTAGAATGATGTGTTTGAAACAGGAATAAACTTGAGTCATTCAAAACGACAATGAAATATATCATCATTATGCACAATTCTTAAAGAAAATAAACAAATAAATGAAACATGAATATTGTTCTCTGTAATGATATTTTCACAACAAAAAATGGATCTTCAAAAATCTTCATTCAATTATTTACATAAGAGTCCATTTGAACTTAACATATTTGCTAAGAATTTACATGCAGTTGCCAGAAATGTTAAGTACATGTATAGAGCCTTTGTAATACGCAGTTAAATCTATCTTGACATTCTACATGACATATCAATCAAGAGATATTCTTTGTTATCATTACATGGTAATGACGAATATAACAAACCATAGAGAAAAGAAAAATAAACTAAAACACACACACAAACAATGAGTTTATCAGGCACCAGTAACTCAGCCAAACAACAATTCACATTTAAATGATTAGATTGAATCATCTATTGAATACGTGTACTCACACGAAACAAAATGGTTTGTATTAGTTTTTAGCAGATGCTGAATGTATTCTGTTCCTTTCACACAACTGCATGAAAGAGGTGACTGGATTGCAGAATATTCTGTCACAAACCAGACAAGAGCCCATAATACACTGAGCAGGATTATAATTTGAGCAAAGGCATTGTCTCCTAATCAATAGGCACCAAAAAACCCTTCATACTATATTTACCGATCACCCCTATCCCCTTTAAATACCTACTCATATACCTTGAGTTTCCTTATGTTTTATTTATTGCTTATACATCATGTGTATCTCTCATACATGCCATCTCAGCTGCCATTTTGCAGGTAATAACTTGAAAGTAGGCCAATCGGAAAAGAAGAGTTAATTTCAAAATTTAAAAAAATTGAACGCCCAAAAATGTTTTTTGCAATTGAGATTATGTTGAAGGTCATTCTTTCTGATCTGACAAGGCTTGGTTACAACTTGTCTTTTGGTACACATAGTACATACTGACAATTGCCGTTGAGAATATGTACAAAATAAAAATACCAGAGGAAGTGTTTCACAAGAGAATGTTAATGTTGATGATCCATAAGCGGCTCCTCTGATCTCCATGTTTTGGGAGTATGTTCTTCATCCTCATATACACGAGTTCTGCATCTTACACAGAGCTTCTATGTTCTGTTAACCAAAAGCTGTTCCTCGGCTTTGACACACACTCTTGAACCAGTTGCCTGCACACTGATTCAATCATGACTTGATATACAAGCTGTCTCTTTCTCCTAATCACTGTTCAGCTAACACAGGTCATTTCCTATTAGCTCAGTAACTGTTGACCCTCACATTTCAGTAGTTTCCCAAACCTCTTGTATAACTTTGCAAACCCTGAAGCTTGTCTTGACTTGTTGAGATGATTCCTGAATTAAGACAGCACGATGTCCATCCTTCCTGCGACTTGGAATATTTTCTGTTATCTCTCTGCTTCTGTGTTCTCTGTCTCCTTACGCCAGCTAACGTCGGTGGGCAGGATTCTCTCTGGCACCGTTATCTCAAAGCCCTGTCACAAAAGACGGATCTCCCTCTGTCCCATCAGTCTCTTCACGTTCTGTTTTAATCGCCTTTTCACCGATCCCCGCGCTCTCTGCCTCGCCAGGGCCTCCCGTCCCCGCGCCCTCTGCGTCGAGGTCGTCGTCATCGTCCCAGACCGGGTCGAGGCTCTCGGCCTTGACGACCAGCGACTCCGCCACGATCTCCTGCTCGTCCGACTCGTCCGAGTCGGCGACTTCGGTCTTGACGACCGCGGCGGCGAACCCCGCCTCGCCGGTGTCCGCGTCGGGCCGCACTGCCCGCGCCTCTTCGCGCGCGGTCAGCGACCTGCACACGCCAACGCCGCCACAAGGCGCACCAGCCCGACGGCCTCGGACCGCGCCCCTCGACCACCCGCCAGGCCGACGGCCCCAGGCCCCGATCCCGGGACGGGACACCGGCCGAGGCGGGGTTCGGGCCGCCGCGGTCGTCAAGACCGAAGTCGCCGACTCGGACGTAGTCGGTACGAGCAGGAAGAGTGCGTGGCGGAGTCTGCTGGTCCGCTCAAGGCGATAGCCTCGCCCTCGGTTCTGGGACGAGACGCGACCTCGGACGCAGACTGCGCGGGGGACGGGAGGCCTGGCGAGGCAGAGAGCGCGGGGATCGGGAAAAGGCGATTAAAACCAGAACGTGAAGACTGATGGACAGAGGAGGTCCGTCTTTTGTGACAGGGCTTTGAGGATAACAGGTGCCAGGAGAGAATCTCTGCTCCACGACGTAGCTGCCTGTAGAGGAGACATGAGGTAACACAGAAGCAGAACGATTCATAACAGAATTTGATTCCAAAGTCGCAGGAACGGGATGGACACTTCGTGTGCTGTCTTTTAATTCAGGAATCATCTCAAAAACAGTCAAGACAAGCTTCAGGGTTTGGCAACAGTTATACAAGAGGTTTGAGGAAACTACTCAAATGTGAGGGTCAAACAGTTACTGAGCTAATAGGAAAAATGGACCTGTGTTATAGCTGAACATGTGATTATCGAGAGAAAGAGGCAACTGGTCAGAGTGGGTTGTGTTCAAAGCCGAGGAACAAGCTTTTGGTTACGAGGAAACATAGACTCTGTGTAGTATGCGTCAGAACTCTGTATATGAGGATGAAGACAGTTTATCCCAAAACATAGGAGATCAGGTGGAGCCGCTTATGGATCAATCAACCATTAACTTCTCTTGTGAACACTTCCTCTGGTATCTTATTATCATTTATTGTACATTATTACCTCAACAGCAATTGTCAGTATGTACTATGTGGTACCCAAAAGAGTATAAGCTAGTAACCAAGCCTTGTATCAGATCAGAAAAGAATTGACCTTTCACTATAATCTCAGAATTTGCCAAAGACAACATTTATGTGGTGTGTTTCAATTTTTTGAGAAAGTTTTGATAAGTATATAAAATTAACTCTCGTTCCGTAATATATAGACGCGTCCTTTCAATTGTATATACTTGACAAAATGAGCAGCTGAATATGGCACGTTGTGAGAGAGTACACATTGATGTAGTTAGCAATAAATAAAAACATAAGGAACTCTAAGGATATAATGAGTAAGAAGTATATAAGGCGGATAGGGGTACGGTAAATATGAGTATGATAGGTTTTTTGGTGAAACCTAGTTTTGATTAGGAGACAAGTGGGCGTCTTTGAACACAAAATAACAAAGTATATATTTCCTGACTCAGTGTAATTATATGGGCTCTTGTCTGGTTTGTGAGACAGAATATTACCTCGCA